GAACCCATTCATCTACTACACCAGGATCTCCTTGGCCGGAAAACTTTTCTGGATGGTAGTCGCGGAACAAAGCGACCACTGTGGCCTGTGGGAGTTCCTGGTGATCTGGCTCTCTACGAGGAGGCATCTGGACATTGAAATATTTAACATGGTTAAATAACATAAGAGATTAACTGACTGATTACTTAAATACACAGATCTCTTGACGAGTCGCTAAATAACCCGAGAATACTAAAGTCGATCAATCAAATAACTAGGACAACCGACTAAGGTTCTGAATATACTCGAGCATCTTACTGGTTTCTAGGGTCAAATATCTGATATCCTCTTACTGAGCATAGACTTAAGTATTCGTTTAAATATATAAACTGTAACTCAGCACTTACCTGATAGTCGGCGAGGCGTGAGCGTAGCGTGGTCGGGTCTTTTCTGAAAATCTCTGACTTTTAGAAGTATTCAGATACACGAAAATGTGCTCTAATACCAATTTGTAACACCCCGCTAGCTTACTAAAATCAGAGTGCGATTTTCGCAAATTCTATTCTAAAGTTTACATTTTATTTTGCGTAACATATATTGGGATGCTACATAAATGTGTTTCTTTTCTAAAAATCCGTTAACTATAAACCCATTTATGAAAAACGGCTTATCATTTTAAAACAAGCGTGTGATACTGTATAAAACTAGACCCGAAAACTCGGATCGTCGTCTGAAAATGTACAAGCTAGTTTGAAAGTCTGAAAACATCAGCGGAAGTGAAACGTGGCAAATATATACATATCAACAGTCTGAAAAAATATAAACATATTTACATATACTGGGCCAGCGACCACCAGCTCCACTCACTCCTCCGGACCGACCCTGTCTCCTGAAAAGGAATCATAATAGTGGGAGCGTGAGTACTATAAACACTGTACTCCGCAGAAACTCATACTGAAATAAACATTAATAATAAAATCAATATCATGACTGCAGGTATATATAAATAAACTGTAATCTCCAGACGCGAGGTCTGTACTGAACTGGCCATGTGCATACTCTGATGGGCAATTAAGGCTACTGCGCCTCCACCAGAACTCTGGATGGGAAATT